GGAGATGAGNGATACATCTGCTGAGTGGAAAAAGGACACATATAGGACCCCCTGGCGCTTTGATAGTACTCGATTAGAACTCAAACTGGACAGCCATGCTAATTGGCAGGCATTTCAGAAACAAACAGTAGATTTCGATAAAGAATAAATAGCGTGATTTCCCACCTTAAATAGTTACTCATTTCTCTTCCAGACTCTCCTACTCTTGAACATACCACATCCATACGTTTAATTCGTTCAATCTAAACGGCAAATTATAGCACGGATCCGTAGACTGTACAATGTGTGCGAACTGCAATGGTCGTTTTCGTTCAAGTTACGTTGAACTGTTGTGGTTATCCTAGCCTACGAGAAAATGCCAACCACGGCCCGACGCCTTACAGTTTCTGGGCAACGAACCATAAGCCAATAGTGTCAATCAGTCAGAAACCGTGTGGTTGAAACGGAAGCCGTAATATGTTGAACCGATGAACTCTCTTTGAATATATTATTTAATGCCATTGCTTTTCCTCAATAAACTAATTGCCATTTCTGGGTTCTTTTTCTGCTCCTCGATGACGGAATATTCTAGCCTCTGATGGTTAGCACCATTCTGTGCTTTAGTTGCGATCATGATTCGTGATCCGTTATCCCAGCTATTTCAATTATTATAACAGTCCTGGTGGCTTGGAAGCCCAACCCGAAGAAATCCAACTGCAGTCAAATACGTCGATGGAATAATGCATATGTCGTTGTTGTTTAATCGTACCATTGGCACGGTTAGCTAATCCAGAATCTCTCCGTTCCATCACAAAAACGGCTCTGGTTATACAAGTGGTTTTATTTTGTTTCCCTCGAATTGCTGTTTGAATAGAGAATTTTAAGAAGATTACATGCAGGAGGATTTTGACGAACGGGAGGACTTTCGCTGAAGATTAAATTTGAACAAACAAAATAGTTATTCTGATCGACCGCGGTATGTGTTGACGACTACATTTTGAACAACATAACCTCTGTGTGGATCCGGTGTTTAAATGCCAAACTCACTAATGAAGAGATCTGCTGAGAAATAGGTTAAAGTCTAGTACTTCCACAGTTTACGGTAACCTGAAAGAATGCGGCCGTACATAGTATGTTTGCTTTCGAAATATACATTCTAAAAATTGCTCGGGAATATGTAACATGGATCTTCAATCCTCTGAGGTAGTCAGAATCTGTGAATGTTTAGGCAAACCTCATTCAATAAATGCCAACGTTCATTGCATTCCATCTGCAATATAAAATACCTGTGGGATTATTTCACTGCATTATGATTTGGTGAAACATAATAAGTCTACTGCAATCACTTTTCTCAAATTGAAGGAGTAGACACCCAAGAAGCATAACGCCCTGGAAGACTTAAACCAAAGTACATCTTCCTCTGCTCGTATTCCTTGATTTCTATATGCAACCTTTGAGAAACTTGCCATGCATGAAAGCACTTGGTAACCTTGTTTGTAATGGACATTTATTTCACTTGTGCCAAACTTTTATGAAGAGACGTGATTTTAACATCAGCATCGTACGCGGTGTGACCATAGTTTGTTTCCATTACTATTTGTGTAAAATCGTTCTTGGAAGCAGTAAATTTGCCTAAAGTAGAAAAAGGATTAAGAACATTTTATTACATGAAACATAAGCACAGTGTGCATTCCTAAAGCAAACCAGGATCTGGCAAACGAGCTATGTAGTCAGCTGCTATGTAATGTCTAACAGCACCTCCAAAAGAAGACTTTTATTTGAAGTCTTGACTTTTTATTGGTAGCCAACGTTTATTCAAATGGCAGTTGGCGAGTGTCGTTTTGATTCTATTCTGCATTTCTAGTTTCTTGTAGTAAACAACATCAGAGGCGACACAATATTTCGCTTTGAAGTAAACCTTTGCTTTGCCAGAACGCGTACTTTTCACGGCTACATGAAAACATATTCTATCCCTCGTTTTTTCTCCAGTGTATAAATCATTGAGTCGATTTTGTGTTATAGATCAATATTGATTTGAATCAATCTCGGCAAATTGAGCACTTTAAATTTTCCCATTGAATGCGCATCAATAAAAGAAACCCCCAGTGGACAAGGAAAACATCGAATAACACTTGTCATCTCTGGTTATCGTGTTCAGTTAATGTGCCTTTTTGTTTATAACTTATTATGTCCTACGAATCCCAGAATGAAATTCCTAAAATTATAACTTGCTCAGATGGTAGACTATATTCTAATGGTTTCAGTAACACGATTGTATTTTCAAGGCGTGACACCCGTAACAAGCAAGCAATGCTGGATTGTGCTATTTTGTGCAAATGGAGAATGAAAAGCGGTCTGATCAGCTGCCCGGTGACTGAGTGTGTAGTATGTCTGCACTTAGCCTATGAGTTCCCAGGTTTGGTCCTAGTTGTGAAGAAAGGTTGCCATTGATGATGAGACCCAACCAAATGAAACATATGTACAATGCTTCGTAACGTTTTGGTCCACACGTCATACATGACGAATTGCACCTATGAAATTGAATTTTAGTAGACCAATCACAGCACGTTATGATCAGACTACAGCTCACCATACAACCAATCTCCAGACGGATTGCCGATTCGTGAAGCCAGAACAACTGCATTCCATTTATAGTTAGATGCACCGACATTCTGATTATAAACACTTAGAAGCCGGGATTTTGGAAAAATCTATACCTTAAGATTGTCAGAGGACAATGATGAAATACTGTTTGAACACAGCTTCATCGCCCGAACATACGGCGTGCTCATCCCGCTATTCCTGTTTAACATTTCCATCTCCTTGTATCTCATGTCAACTTTTGATTTTCCGCAAGATCTACATTTTGAAATGCAATGATATTACTGCAAAATGAACTGTACACTTCTGTTTCCAATAAACGGCAGCGGAATGAATATTTCTTTTAGTTAGTATCCAGTAGCTCAGTACGCTGAGCAATTCAATGCGTGAAATGCTTCACAGTAAAATGCATCTCCGAACAGAGAGTTATATCTCTTTGAATCACAAATTGTTCAACCACATTACTTACAAGACTATTTTTTCAATGATGTTTAATCTCCCGAGTACGCGAAGAATTGATTAAATTACTGTAACGGCTTTCGTTAACTTCATTTGGTAAACCATACATGAAAAAGAAAGCTTCAGGGACATGTTTTGACTTATGAAACCGTCACATATGTAAAAATACTAAAGATACTAAACTATACGTTGCTATCCACTGATTTTTCGGTTGTCCCTCTACTTTACCTACAAGGTAGTACGCATTATTTCAATTTTCCATAGCATTCAAATTTTTGATAATGTTGACCGGTAAGCATCATATTAATGTGTCTAAAAAGGAATTACGTGTTTCTCTAACCTTTTGTAAAAACCTGTCCCGAATTTGTATTGTGGATTCGACTACTACCTGCTGCTCTTTGGTAACTAAAAATCATGCCGTAGTCATCGTAACTCAGTGAATGATCACGAGAAACTGCTACACACCAATGAATGTTTTTTAAATGCAAATTGGTCGGCCCTATAAAATCAGTGTATGCAGCTATCAATCAGAGAGCATTTTTGTGTACATTGAAGGAAAATCCACCCATATGGATGACACTAGTTTGACTACTGTTTGTGGTAATCGGTCTCATTTGTTATTAACCAGCCTAAGTCGTTTCTAACTGCTGAATGATAATTCGGTTTTCTCTATATTTCGGTTTTATTAGATGTCACCTGTTGACTGTGTTAAAAGGAACCCGGGACTTGATGGGCCCCCAGAATTTATATTTGTCGTTCTTATTGGATTATCCCTGTCACAACAACATCAGAACAACGTTTTCTTGAAATTCAGAAAACTGCTCATTCAAGCTGGAAACCTCCTTCCACCAGTCTGGAATTCCAGTGATTTTCCAAATAACAGGCGTGTAACAATCACAAGATTTTAAGGATGTCAGCGGAGAAAAAAACAATGTGCTACAACAAGATATGTGCACAGACCACTGAGCTCCTAGGAGAAAATCAGTCCACCGGACAAGCTTGCAACGTGGACATGGTAACGCATACCCGTGGAATATATCATATGTTTCGTGAGACTCAATCGTCCCCAAATCATTGTTTAATTCCATTATGCATGAGGAATAAATGCCCGAATTAGGACACTAATTTGCCGTGACTGTGTACAATGTTCCCTTCAGTGTTCGAGAGTAAAACTGCAGTTTATCAATTGCTTGCAAATACAAGACTCACAAATGACTAAACGTTCATTATATGCAAAAACAATAGCTGGAAATAAATGCACATCTGCAGGACCAAACAATATTTTACCGTACATGAATACACGGTAAGTGGTTCCACTTCATTGTGTGGACGAATGTTTTCACATACACACTTTGTGCTCATGTATTATTGTCTTGTTTTTATAAATTAGCAAGCATTTTATTTATTGTCATACTCCACCATCAATTTGTGCTGTCCGGTTTTCGGCAGTCACGATCCGATGCAAAAGCTCATATTACACTGTGCTCTGCACAACCAGCAAGATATCACAAACATTTATCACGTTCCCTTCACGGTCAAACTCTATAAAAACTATGGTAGATACAAGTTCAGTAACCTAGAATAGTTCCTCTTCCAGCAGTGTTACGTATACCCTAACCTGACATAATTTTGTCGATAGACAGTAGTAGAACACATTCCGGCAATTTCGAGCACATTCCCTTTCAAACTTTTTGTGACATTCATCGACCCCGAGACAAAGTAAAATCAAAACCACACTTCCAGATTACACATCTTGTGCAGAACAAAGATGTGTAGTAGAAAAAAAAATGAGCAAATTTTCGTTTTTTTCCTTTTGTCATAAATACTCATGCCAACATTTTCTAATCTTCACCTCACTCTACTTTCCTCCACGGATTCAAACATCAACTTCAAACAAAAAACCTGTTGGTTTGCACACCTCCATCGCACTTATCCTATTCCTGGACGCTGAAAAAACGGAGGAAAAATCAATATAGGTGAGATTGGAAAACAAATGTTCATTGTCAATCGCGGAACATTACATGTGTTGGGAGATGATGGGCATACCGTGTTGGCAACGCTGCGCGCAGGAAGCTACTTTGGAGAGTTATCTATTCTCAATTTGGGTCGATACGGGAATCGTCGTACGGCATCCGTTCGCTCGTTGGGTTATTCCGATCTGTTCCGTTTATCGAAATCAGACTTGTGGGATGTGCTGAAGGAATATCCAGCGGCTCGAAGAAAGCTTGAATCCCACGCGTATAAGAAGATTAGTGATTATAAGGTGTGCGTGCCAAACAAAGTTCGGGGTGAGTGAAAATGTAATGGGAATGTAAGACAAAATAATTTATAACACACATGCATTACTCTTTATATATTCCAATGGAAAATCTTATCGCCTTCAGCTGACCATTTGACCAAGTGAATATATAAGCACTTTCTCTGAACTTCGGTCGGACGGATAATAATGCGTTGTGTAGTATTAATTAATGAAGAGACTTAATACATTGTCCATATTTTAACATTCACTATATTTCGCCAGTGGTTAGCTCACAATTCAAGTGTGGAAAGATCGGAGCCTTTATATTATTGAAATATGTACGCTTTCTATACTAGCACAGTCCTCACATCGCTAATTATAGGATATAATTGAAATTCCCTTAATTTTCAACCGACAGAGGCGTTCTGTGTTTCATTGTGCAATGAAAATAAACAGCAAAATAGGTCGTGAGTTCTTAGCAAACGTTTAGTCAAGTAATTTCATCTACGTAGAAGTTGGCACTTTTTATGAGTAGTCAAATAATCCGATGTAATTAAAGACAGCTTTAGCTCACTGTGTCTTGAATCTGCTTTACCTGCCTCTTCCCAATATTCTCAGTTTGATGCCAGAAGAAACTATCACTTCGTTGGGTTCCTGGTACAATTTGATTGATTGGATTTATTTGAAGTTAAGGCGGATTCATCTGAAGTTAAATAGATATAGTCCCTGATTCGAAGGGCAATTCTTATGGGCCAAGTAGCAATCCGAGTTCGACACGGACAGTTCCGATTAAATTAAAGTTGCCACTGCTTTACTTGATCGCGTGCCTCTGTGACCTTCCATTGGTATTCGCTTCTCGTAACTGAGTTGTCACCTCTCTTGTTTGGCACTTCAGCCCTTGTTTTACGAGTTTCAATCGTTTTGGACATCCATACGTGCCCTGAGTCCCGTTGTGAAAGCCACGAAGCGAGGTGTATGACATCTGATTCACCAGGCTGGAAACACCCCGCTTAGTAGAATTTTCAGCTGCTAGTCATTTACACTTTCAGCCGAGGAAATTGTCAGATAGCAAAGCAGGATCACAAATCACAAGCCCGTCCGCATACCCTCCTAAATTTTCCATCGAGACTTTGACAAACGAGGAAAATATACCTGTGTATTCAAACCCACGTGGTTACTTATCCACAAGTCCATATCACGCGAGCTGTATCATGTTTCATTCCGCACATTCAATTCTTTTCACTGTTCAGCGATGATGAATCAGATGAACCGAGCCGCATGGAATTCGGAGAATGCTTACACTCCTTAACCTTTATTATTCAGATTATTATACAAATTCAAATTTTAGTCAGAAAGCAAAATATTAGCCAAATTTTATACTTCCTTGATTTAATTTGTAAGTGCACCTTATTAAAACTGTCATTGTTGACTGGATATGTAATCGTGACGAATAGTGTTCCTTTCTGCCGCCAGGGGGAAGTCAACAAAACAATGAAGTTTACTGGGCACAAATGAAATCACCTTTTATAACTGAAGCACAAAAGCTGGAATAATCACATTTTTGTCACTTTCTGGATGGAAAACAAACTAGAAAATATTTTATCGTAAAACGTCCCCAATGAATAATAAAGGAATTTTATTTAGGTCTGGTATAGCAGACCGTTAGATGTGTTGATTGCGAAGGTTAATGCTCTGAATACCACTACCCAGTTATATCAATTCAGTGATAAAATGGAATGATTAAGCAGATCATATCATACGTTTATCTCTTTCCAGAGATCGATCAACTCAGTATCCTGTTAACCATCCTAATGATGAATTTAGGAAGTTGAAGTATGAAAGATTGGGTCATTAGTTGATACGCTCTGTACAGTTCAGTTTGTGCAACCACCAACCGTACATTTTTGGGGATCGATTCTGGTTGCTGTCTTTGGGCTCCCCACTTTGGATGAACAGTAGAAGAAAGACAGGGTAGTTTGGAAGTATAATCGACGAGAAAATGGAGAATTTCAGTGGACTAAGGTTGTACAGAAGTTGAGAAGATGCACGAACGCCACTGTTAACGACACTCAGTCGTCTCATTCAGTGTCCTTAACCACAGGTTACGTTCATCCCCAGGTCCCCATTCAGGGAGCCTAACGAGTCTCATGCTAAAGGTGTTTATACCTTCTTTCCGGGTCTTAGTTTGACAACCCTTGGCTTTATTCAACCCATTACCTGCCTCGGCAAACATCGTGCATAATGGCAACCTATTTGGTGACATACATAACCCATGTCCCAACCGACCTAATCTATGGTGGTCGAACACTTGTTCCAGTGGGTGACCGCAGTTATCCAAAACTCTGCACTTGACTTCAGCATTGCTCATTCAGTTTCCCTATCAGATTTTTGCAATGCAACGTAGACAGTTGAGTTCAAACACCGACAGTCTATCTTTATATTGGATTCTTAATGACCTCTTTTGCGCCATATAGCAGAACTGGTCGACGAATCATATTTTTCCGTCTAATTAGGAATAGGAGCTGCAGGAAAATAAGCGTAAGGGATATTTTGGTGTCAAGTTAGATTTTTGAGTCTAACCGCCTATGACGGTCGTTCGTAAACTTTATTACACACGTTATCATTTTGGTGGTGATGGTACCATGGAAAGTACGTAAAAGCGCGATTTAAAGGACGGTGCACAGCATACTATGTGCACTACTTCATCCCTGTTGAACTTAACTTTCCAGTTTACCCACTGCACAGGGTTACACTGATGACATTTTTCTCCTCTGAACCGAGCAGTGGGGTACTGAAGATACTAGTATCTCCCTATCATCTATCAAAGCCCTCATGGTCACCATCATCTTCGTGAACCCATTTGTTACCACTGCGCTATTAAGACACCTCCCGGATCATTTTCTTTTTCACAGTCCAAGCAAACTTCTTCGGATTAAGCAGATGGAATCTTCGAATGTATCCCGAGCACCCACTCATATCTGACGCCGTCATTGGAACCAAATGTGTTTTTTTCATCGCCCGTTAAGTTCATCTTGCAATGAGTGACAACTGTGACTTGTTTATCAAGAGCAGTGATAAGTGAACATAAAGCGGCCGGCCCACCCCACCATAAAGAGACACAACGATTCAGGAAGGTATCTGCACGGACTTGTGAATTGTGATCATGCTTTGATACTTCACACAATTTCTTCGGCTGAAAGTGTAAATGATCCGTAGCCGAAAATTCTGCTCATCAGCGTTTTTCCGATGTGGTGATTCATTTGGTTTGTCTTTTAGTTTTCCGATACATTTCAAATGGGAATTCGTCGAGTACATAGCAAATAAAGCGTGAACTGAAAAGCTGGGAAGCATTGGACAGCTGGTTCGACCTGGTTGGGTCTGATCAGCAGTGCGAATCCATCGATCCAACTGGTGATCGAACTAGGGACAGAACGCAAGCATGCTACCAACTTCACCACCAGGCAGCTGATCAGACGTTTTTCAGGCTAGTGCTGAGATGAGCAGGGTCCGCGGTCCGCAACAAACTCGCAAAGATGGGTTTTGCTATTTAGTGTAAATGGAAAATGAGAAACGGGATCCCGTCATATTCTACACTATGAATGTGACACATATACTTTCTACCCGATTCATACATTAAGAAAACGTTTAAATAAATGGTGAAGATATTGCCGTTGCTTTTTTAATCTACTTATACTCAGTAGCTGATTCTGTTGAATGTTTCCTTTGTTCTTTTTAACCATCCTCTTTCAGGTTCTGCCTTCCAACAAACAATGTCAAACGGGGACGATGGTCTATTTTGTTCTTTGGCGGGTAATCGCATTGACTCATCTGTGAACAGCCGGATATTAGGTCCCGGAAATTACTTTTCTCGTCATGGCCGAAGTTACACTTGCGGTGCAATACACTCATCTGGTGATGGATCGGACGGATACGGCAGTGACCCTAGCCGACTGTCAACTAGCTTTTTTTCACCACAACAGTCACCAACTCCACCGGTTAGTCAGATTCCGGATTCTGTGTGCAGTTTGCAAGAGAATTGGAGTGAGTCCAGTTCACATCCAATTCGCCCGGATCGTCAAGTGAATGCCACTAGATGTTTCCAGAAAAACTTGAACAGTTTACCAGAAACGCTTCCGTTCGAAACTCATGGATACTCACCAAAACAGGTAGGTGAATTCCATACAAGCTACCCATCGTATATCAGTCGAGCGACCTCATCCAATACAAACTGTAACTTGCCCTTTCCCGTGATCAGTGCTCAACCACGTGAAAGAGGAATAAGTATTCATGACGCAGATCAGCGTGGACCACAATGCAGAAAAGATGCTCTCAGTGGTGATTCGGCTCTACCTCGAATGCGAAACTTCTCTGTTCCAGCAGATCTAGTGAACAGAGTCACAATGGTTCCACTGCTTGAATGCTCACCGGCCAATGTGATGAATGAACAAGCTTACTGTCACATGGGTCCAGAAGGAGAAACTTTCATGTCGTACATTTCACCTGGCGACGAGAACATTTTCCTCATAGATGATAGTCCACAACAACATTTGTCTACTGTAAGATTTAATTTGAACGATTATGAGGATCCTAAAAGTGGCAAGGATCTATCTGAATACGACTGCTTGAAGCTTGCGGAGGAAATGAATCGTGGCATGGAATGGAGTCGCCCAAACACAGGAAACGTACCGTCTATCTGCTTAGAGGGTGCTTCAAATTCATCGTCATCATGCTCACCAAGTTTGGGTCCAAAAACATCAGTACACTCAGTACCCCCCTCCTTTTGTCCACTGCAACCAGCAGAACGCCCTACAGATTTCGGTTGGGAGACAACACATTTGCTTAATGTTCCCCAACTTAGACCGTCTACATCCGCATCCACTCGACCTCCGTGGCCAAGAGTCTGTCAACCGTTCAGTATAGTATCCTCTGTCTGTCCAAACTCACACCAAAGTTCCCCTTCTTGCTTCACACCGACCACAAGAAACTGTGAACTAGTGAAAGAATTTACCCGGCTGAGACAAAAGATTTACATGTTAGAGTACGAAAACGCCCTTCTTCACAGGCACACTCGCCGCACATCACTGGAATCTACTGCTTGTTGTGGATTGAACATGCCAAGCAACGCAACTGGTCCAGTCAAAATGGCTGATACACGAGTCACCGTTAAACGTTCCACCTCATTGCAAGTCCCAATGAACGAAAGGAGAATGAAAGTCCGGGGGCCACCGAAACAGCCAGCAGTTACTCCTCGAAGTGACCTAGATCCTTCAAACACTTCAATCTGAGATGTACCTTTTGTTGATTGAGGAGGAATCTACCAGTTCAGCTGAACAGATTTTGTCTCTGTACATTTACAAAAGATAAAAACTAAAGAATTCCCAAGCTCTCCAGCTATCCCTGAAAGAATCAGGCACTGTTAACTGATAAAGTCAATTTTCTGTCACTTATTTACGGATGACTTTTAGTGACGTTTTGTCAAGTGACGGGAGCTCTGTACTGTCGATTCCTCAAGTTTGGAACCAACCCATTCCAAACTAGGGTGTTATATTGGGTTCCCAAAGTGACCATGATCACAGTACACTTACGCATAAAAAACCCTTACGGAAATCCTTGTATATTATATATTATATGTCGCACCCTCCGAACTATTTATGTGCTCCCATTCCCTGATATACCGAACTGCTTGTGCGTTAATCCATCGACTGCATTAAAGATAAAAAAGCACGTTTTAATTCTTTCATATGTTTATTATGGCTGATTAAGGAAAGCACAGTTAACTAACGGTTACAGATTTTCATGACTTCAATAAACATTCGATCATAGTATTTGAGCAAATCACTCACTGTAGGACCAACTTACTTCACCGGCGATAATTAGGACAACTGATACAAAAGCTTGAGGTACAGTCAAAACTATTTCACATGAAAAATTATTTCCGTGAGGGGTGATCCAGGAATATTCGATAGTGAATACAGTGGATACAAGAGGCTTTAAGAGAAAAGATAGAGCAAGCTCCGGCGCACGACATCCAGGTTGTTCACAATGGGCATTCCAAAGCCTGCTACTCTTTTTCAGCCCAGGTTTACAGCAATCAGGGACGTGGGATAAATGGTTGCATAAAGTCCAATTGATGGAAACCGAGTTATTTTTCGTCTAACTTGCAATTAGTTTGTGCGTTCTCTCAATTTCCTGGTATGAAATTTTTCAGTGGAGTTCACTAACATAGATCGCACTTTATTAAATGTAGAGAATAGAAACGATAGGCTGAGAACGAAACACAAAATTTTGGACATTGCCAGTAGTGTGAAACCATTGGTTAAATTGAAGATCGTAAGCACAAATAACGAGAAGAATCAGAGTTTAGTACTCGCATGATCAGACTCAGAATTATGCAAATCCTGGCGAATTACGGCTCGGTTGGAAATAATGCGTCTTTTGCCAGTAGGCCAGCTCGTGAAATTGCGTCATAAATATTGCATTTTGCAGAGTGAATATTTTTGTGTTCAATAAATTGTTTACGAAACAATAGAAGAAATACGATGAAATAACGGAGTTATAGGTGCGCAATTTTTCACATAAGCCACCGATATTTGGATCCAATTCTCTTAACTCAATAGTAAATGCGTAAGTGTTTTCCGATCAAATTATGGATTAATTAATTAATTAATTATGGATTGTTCATGTTCACTTGTGAGACATACCGTCGTGATTATATCAGTGGACAACCAATGTCAGCCCATCACAGTAAGCGTAGAAAACCGATTGGCTATTTCAGCCTCGTTTGCGTAAATATCACTGTTCACAAGGGACAGTCAACAACTCAATGGAGAGAAGATTTCCACATCGATTTTATTACAATTAACAGCAATGTTTGGAAACCTACTCCCGCTATTGAAAATACCCACTGATCTGAATTAGGTGACTTCCAAAACTGTCCCTTTGTCCGTTTGAGACTATACGACTCACGACAGTATTTTGCACGATTCCGTCATTTGTCATGTGCTCATGCTCGTGTAATTGTTCTAACTCTCATACAATGCCATTTTGGTGACCATTATTAAATATATGGCCGTTCCAAATTTGATTTATTGACTTAATACATTTGATCAAAACTAATAATTTTATGGTTGAATCATACCATTCTGTCGTCTCAGGAGTACTCAAAATAAACTACCTTATAACCATTTCGACGCTGGAGGATTCAGTGATAACTGGAAACACTAAAATGATAAATCCCAGTAAAGCATCTCAGCCGTTGGACTTTCAAGTAAGTTCAACATGAATTCAACTTAACCTTTATCATGCATAAGGGATAATCGCATTTGAAACACTCAACGTTCACTACAAACAACCCCGTGGAATCGATATAAATGACTACTGCTGGATTACTCCTCAATCTAAGTATGTTATGTTCTTTATCTCGAACGTGTAGTCCAGCATTCATTCATCCGCTTGAAAAAAACGGATCCCTAATGATGGGTATCTGTTTATCCAGTTGAACTTCCTTACCTTTTCTTGACATGTTTGCCTTCGCCTGCTCAAATCTGATCGTCACCTAATACTCTATCTATTGAGAAACTTGAATTCTTCACGTCTCAAAAAATGTCAAACCTCAAGTGTTCAACAATATCAACTGTACTTTGCCACTTTCTATTGGTTCACCTTGCTAAAACTGACTTCTGTAAATTGTTGTCTTACAGTTACAAAAGCTAACAAAGGTCAGAATAAATCGGTTGAATTTCATTTAATGGGTGTACGGTAGGTTTTACAAATCAGATTGTTCCGGTACCACTTAAGGTTGTAACTTTCACCTTGTCAGAGCTACCGCGTCCACGTATTAGTCAAACCTCATAGCAATGAATGAATGATCACCATTCACTACAAAGTTTTATCCACCCGGTATTAATGCTTCAATGGTATAGACTGTGCTGTGACCTACCTCAGTCATATGCTCCAAACCCATGAAGTATATCGGCCCTTTACCTTCATTGAACGAACACGTCTGCATGTGAGAGTATCGTAATCTCTTTTACTGTATGTAACATGTTCCACTGGTGCTACTATGTCATGATATGCACATCACTGTTATTCCGACACACATCCCGTTAGTATATGGCTTGCAAGCTTTTTTCCCGTCCTTCTGTCACCACGATAAAATAAACCGGCAGAATCTCTACCCCTCAAATACAAAATGTTCAAAATGACCATTTTGACACTATATCTTGAACGGAATCAACACGACTGCTTTTTTAATAGCCTAAAGAGAGCTTACAAAATCCTCAGTGAGCTTCAGTATCATAAAATACGCCCATGTTTGAATCGGCAATACGTTAGAACATTGTGCAACTATGATAGAAAGTGGCTTATTTAATCAGCTCGTACGACACATTTGTAAAATCGCAGTTGATTGTACGTCCTAGATATCTTTATACTGAATAGTGAACGGAAAGCTGTCGAATCACAGATGTACTACAGGTATTTATCAAACTCGCACAACTTGATTCCCAAAATATAAATATTTTTCAGCTTCGAATATCAAACCCACACATCGGTAGCCATCATTACAAAACCGTTATTTCGAACTTCACTTCTCAGTGCGCTGTTCTCAGTTCTCTTGTATCTTTATTTGAATTCGCTCGACGAGGGTTATCATGATTATTTTTTGTAGTTAGAAAGATACTGATCAAAATTAGAAACCCTTTAGTGCAAAGTAGCATAAATTAACAACTGAATATTGTTCCACAAGGATGTTCATTCTGTTCAATCCAAGTATATCATGCATTTTCCGTGCAATGCAAAGTAGATATAACGGTAAATTATATGTTATCGAGTGGAGAAACCCAAACATGTGCGCACGCAAACCCACATACCAGTAACGACCGACAAACAGGGCCCTCACCCACCGCCTGTGTAGATGAACTTGGGCAGACTCAGGTGAGACAGCGTGTGCAATGTTCTTGCTATATTTATAATCCAACTTGTTTATCTTGCCTGATCAGCTGTGTCACGTGAGCTCCGTCAATAAAGTTGCCGGACAACTGTGATCTGGCGACTTCTGCCAACGTAGTAAGGGATATGGAAGTTGTCATAATTTATTCGAAAATGTTTGTAGCTACAAACTGCATATTCAGATTTATCAACGACCAGGAAACATGAAACGTGAAACGTGAAAATTGGCCTTCGAATAAAGTCAAAGTCAAAATCGCTTTATTCATCCTAATGGATGGATTCTCAGCTTCTTGCACTTCAGGAACATTTATCGTCGCATGCAGTCACAAAAAAGTGAGAAAATAAATAACACCGTCAATTCAAAGAAATGTGGAGAAAACGTTTGAAAATGAATAACAATTGCGTAGGACTTTCCAAAAGTCTTCGCTCACAGATGCCTTTTGAGCCAGAAATCTCGAAAGATAGGAGATAACGGACAAAAGATAGACAGTGGTACGAGCATACACCAGTTTATAACGACATATTGTTACAGAAGTGGATATACATGGTTTAAGTTCTGTGTGTAACGGGTGAATGGTATCTGATTGAATATTGTTACAGAAGTTATCGCAAGAGGAAAATGTTTATCGGCGATAAAGTTAAGCAAGTGCAAATAAGGAATACCACTTGTGCGAGAAATAATTTTAATTGACCGGCGTAGAATTGTGTAATCTTTAGCTCCAAGATCGGCAAATGAAACTGGGGAGCAGTAGAGAAGATGAGCAACAACACAAAAATAAACAAATCGGGTTAGTAAATACAATCGAACTGTCAAAGAACGCAAGTGGGTAATAAAGAAGAGACTCAAAAATGACACATAACAATCTAGTATTCAAAGTGAACAGTGTTGGTATAACTGTAAGCGACAGTCTTCGATGAACAATCTACATTCACACTTGTGTTGATGAACTGGTGAGAATAGTAGTTCAAAATCAAAATCTCAGGTGGTTTTGCAATTTCAAATCAGGTGTTTCTCAAAACTCTTTTCCCATTTTACTCTTTTTTTTCTCCAGTTATTTTCCTTGAGCTACAGTCTAACGGACTTTATCTCAACTTGATGTAAAATATATGTCATTGGCGGGAAACATAAGTACGTTTTCTCATATACGATCAGGCTAGAAATACCAAAGTTTGATTTGTAATGAACAACATGAAACATGGAATATCCGACCGATCGATAAATGAACCCAATCGGTCATGTGATTTTCGGACCGACATAGGAGAAGGAATCCGCAACAAGGAATCCGGTTCTTGCCGAGCTAACCCGAGTGAGAAGACACCTTGTTTGCAGACATGA